TGCCTATTTTTGATAATAGATTTAATCCTATATTTCCTTGAAAAATTCCTGAAATTCATAGCAGATTGAGATGGTCTCTGGAAAGAACCTGGGCACATGCTGTCCTCATTGTTATAAGTGATTCCAAGGCTGGTTTAGTAGTTAGCATCACCAGTGGTGAAAATATTGAGATGCTTCAATCCGGGAAGACAATAAGCATCACCCTGAGCCCCATAGGCCTTTTAGCTGGCAGCCTATCCCAGGCCTTCCTCTGGTCCCCTTTCCTCATCCCCTTCTCTCAGAGTTCGGAACTAAAATGCCAATGCTGCGCACTATTTCCAGCATCTTACCCTCTCTGTTCCTGTTGGGTAGTGCCCTCAGGAACCCCTCTCGTAACCCTCATGGTGATCTACCCAACAAGAGAACACCACCCTGGTACAAGAAGACTTCTGATGAATAAGGTTGTCCATCTCACACTTGAGTTTGTGATGTCTGGGTTAGTCTTGGCAGCACACAATGAGACCAGCAGTACCAACCAGTATTTTGTAATACTTCTTAGGCAGCATTTGTGTGGTCCAACACAGCGTGGAGATGACTGATGTCATCAGCTCACCCCTTGTTAGCCTGATGGAGCAGCAGGGCCTAATGCAAGACACAGTCCTAATCTGGGAGTGTGATAGTAGCTCTGTACAGTGGAAGTATTTACTGTCTGCTGAGTGGTAGGCTATTTGGGTGCATGAAGAGACAGCATCAACTCCTTGTGGCTGCAGAAAATCCAAAGTTTAAAGAAGTTTCTGTTTTGATGCTCTGAGAAAAGAAAGCACATCAGCCTAGTGGTAGGATTCCAGGGGGAAGAGGCCTGGTCAGTGTTGCCCCTGCCTGCTGTCTGGTGGAGTGTCTGGGAGGCTTCCTTGTCCTGTTTGGCCACTGTGAAACAAGCTGGGGGTCAAAGCCCTTGTCTCCGAGTCACAGTGGAGGATGTCAAGCAGCCTAAGCAAGTCCTCACATCCCTGATCCATTTGCACTGAATTTCCTGCAAATTGCATGAAAACTTCCTGATTTGCCCAGCAGCCTTTGAATGCTGTCATTTGGGCTACCTTGAAAAAACAGAAAACATGGAAATGTAGGGTAAACATGGAAATGTAGGGTCTGTTTTGTTTAACCTAGGAGCTGGATGGTAAGGGCCAGGCTGGAGGAGAGACATTCCTATTGTATGTCTATAACAACAGAGATTTCCTTAAAGCCAGCAAGACCTGAAGCTAGGTAACTCCTGCTTCTTTGTGGCATCTCAAGCTAAATGACTTGCCGATTGCTCAAGAACTATTATGCAGTATAAAGGCAACTGTCTTGTTTTCCAGGATAGTGTTGCATATGGATTCTGATCCAGCTGTGACACTCATCTTCCTGTATGACTTGAAATATCCATCTGTCCCTCTTAGCGCTCCCATCCCTTGAAGTTACCTGTGCCACCACAGACCACACTTCCCTTTCAGTGGAAGGTGAAGGTTGCAATCTACCAAATATCAGAATGAAGGTGGCCACAGCTTACCTCGTCTTGGTAGAAAGTCATGGATAACCGAACGGAATGTTGGTCATGGACTGTTGCAGAGACTGTTTCCGGAGCATGTTAGTCTGACACATTCCTAAAGGTGATATTAGGGAGCAAAAGAGAAAACACTACCTTATCCTTAAAATGTCAAGGGCACCGTACTGTTGGATCGCGTGCTGTGTGTGTATCTGACAGTAGCCTCTGTGTTGTCAGTGGGAACTGAGGCATTAGCTAAGGGAGTACAAACATCTGTGTCTCTAATTCTCACTCTAGTTTTCATAGAAAGTTATGCTCTTATTAGCACTAATGGTGAGTTTCTCTATCCTTCATGCCTTTCTGAATGATTACCTTTCATAGATGCCTATCCTGCTACCTATTCTAGAAGTCATGGGGGCTGGGGAGATGGCTCAGTGGAATAAGTGCTTCCCTAGCAAGCGCAAGGGTCTCAGTTCAATCCCCAGTCCCGCCAAAAACAAAACACAACTAAAACAAAACAGAACTTGATATTCTAGAAGTCATGATGAATTTGCTTTTACTAGTACATATTTGCAGTACATAATGATTAAGTTCACTATGAGGAGTCAGTACATGAACATAACATGTCCTAATTCTTTTTTTTTTTTTTTTGTGCGGAACCGGGGATTGAACTCAGGCCCTTGTGCTTGCCAGGGAAGGGAAGCGCTTATTCTACTGAGCCATCTCTCTAGGCCCCCTAATTCTTTTATCGCCTTTTACTCCCCTTCTTTCTCCCTCCATCTCCCAGTGAAAGTTTCATGAAAGTTCTGTCGTGGTGACTGCAAATAGCTAGAAGACTGAAGGTAACAGAATAGAGTCATGTCCTTGAAAGTTTTGTTTTTCTGTTTCTAGAGAGGGTTCATCTGGTCTTAGGGGATGGATCCAAACCTACAAAATTCAAAGGAAGAAGTAGATACACTCACTAAGTCCTGACTGCTGAATCTACAAATAATCTCTTGCATACCAAAAAAAGACAACAAGGATAAAGTAAAGGTGCAGATCCACAAGGTCAAGATCAAAACCGGAAGCAAACTGCAGCTATGTTCATCCCAGTGGGGCCCTCACCGATGGGGCCAGCACAGACCTGATGGGGTGGAACAGAAAGGTGAAGGACAGCACGGAAAGGTCAAGGACAGCACTTCCTTTCCCTCCTCCAGAGGGTGAGGGGACTGTAGTCAGCCAGTGTCCCAGCTCACAGCAGACAGAGGTCACTCAGCTCTATAGACAGTGTTCCTGAGCGACAGGATGAGCCCCGGATGGCCAGTCTTTTGTTTTTTCCGAGTCACTCAGCAACCTAGAAGGTTTTTTTTTTTTTTTTTCACGCGGTACCGCGGATTGAACTCAGGCTTGCCGGGCAGGCGCTTATTCTACTGAGTTATCTCCTCGGCTTTTAAATGTTGGCAACTTACTTTTAAAAAAATAGTTCTTTAGTGCTGTGGCACACGCAAAATATGCAGGCTGAGTTAGGACTTAGCATTTCCAGCGCTTGCTATCGGCCTCCAAAGCAGAGATGTCCTCCACTCCTGGGAATCTGAATGCTTGTGCCTTGCTAGTGTGCAGGTGTGAAGAGTGTGAATGGTGACGAACGCACCTCTGGTGCCTCCTGGTTTGATCATGACTTCATGAATGCTACTTCCTACCCCTTTATTTATTCTTTACTTAAAAAAAAAAAATCTTAACCATGCCTCTCCCCTTCTCCTCCAATACCATCTGACACATTCAAATAACTGCACTGTCTCTGGTATCTTAATTCAAACCCACCCTGTTTTACATACAAAGGGCATACCTTGGAAGCTGAGGAAGCTGACATGCTACACTGGAAAGCAGATAACATCCTGGAGAACAGATCCATTATAGGACATTAATAATGCTCAGAGGACGGCCCTCATTCAGAGGGTAGCATTCCAGAAGGCTTGGCACACAACGGCTTTTGGCAGTGTACTATGGAATTGGGTAGACCTCAAAATGCCAGTTGTGTTGTATCACTCTAAGAAATGTAAAGAAGGTATTCCTGGCCCATCCTGGCACATAGTTCCAGATGTGGCACAGCTGTGCAGTGCTGGGAAGACAGTCGAACCAGCAGCAAGGAGTCAGTGGTAGGGAACCGAGTGCTGTGTTCTGGAGAGAGGCGTCACTCTGTCCCTGAAGGAGAAACAAAATCACCATCTGGAGCTGACTCTGTAAACAGCGGTGGAAGCCACAAACCAATGCAGATTCCTTATCTCTACGCCCCATGCCACTCGTTCTGCGGCCCTTCCCTTGGGCGTTCTTTCAGCTCCAGCTCCCCATCCGAGTTGGTGCTGTGGGTTCCTATCCCTGCTAAGCTTGTGCTTAGCTTACTGAAGCTCCACAGTAAATAATGGTAAATGGGCCAACTCGACCATGGTGTGGACCCCAAATTTTAGACTTCCTTCCTGTTTCCCTTGGGGGGAATTGTGGTCACGTTGGCTTCTCTGTCACTGAGTGCCTACTCTGTTCAGCATGCAAACATGGATGAGCCTCAGTCCTGCCTCAAAAGGGCTCCTCTGGCTGATGAGAAGAGACGCTCAGAAGTCGCGTGGTGGTTCTCTCGCTGAGGTCTGTGGGACGGTAGTAGAGGTGCCAGCTGTAGCCAGAGAAGCTAAGGTCTCACCTTCTCCTTCTTACCTTGTGTCGTACAGTCCCCCACCTTAGTTTCTAAAGTTCTGTTTCCATTCAAATGGAATTTCTTTAAATATCCAAATTCAATAGACTTTCATCCTCTTCATCCTCTCAGTTTCTTCGTATTATTTGTTAGATTGTTCTCCTGTCAAGTCCTCCTAGAAAAATACCCTGACCACAACATTTTGATATTTTTTTCCCTACCTTTCTGGTTTTTCTGTCTTTTTAAAAGCAGTTCTTTTAAGCCACAATTTTTAAAGACCCACATTCCCTTAACCTGTCTTTCTAGCCTTTCTTCTCTCTACCTTCTCTGAAGGACAGCTCAGCACTTCTGGAGCTTTTTTGAAAGGTACAAAATGAAGTACAGTGGACCGTTGAGTTACGACCAGCCTGCACCACGAATAACTAGGGTTATGACTAGAATTTGGGACTTCACCTGTGACCAAAGTCCTGAGTTATGACCCGAATCCTGGTCAGTTGTCTCTCACTTGGCCCCAGATACAAATTCAACCCTTATAGAGTTCTGGAAGGAACATCCCAACATCTTTTCCTGTATGGGCTTATTTGAGACATCCCAGGCCACTGTCTGAGAGAGAGTTTGAAGGCCAGGTAGAGGAGCCTGAGTCTTCAGTTGACAACCCGAGTCACATCCCTGAGGAACGCACCGAGTTCCTGAGTTGGAGATCCACTGTAGCGGTTCCTCTCCTTGCTTTCCACGGCTCGTGGGTTTGGGTCACTCACTTTGGAGGTCACTGTTTCATCTGTACTCTTGCCTCTCCCCGGCAGGATCAGAAGCCTCCCGTTATTTCCCTTCAGAAGCTCATTGCTAGAGAAGTTGCTAATGAGGAGAGAGGAATGTTTCTGATCAGCGCTTCCTCCGCGGGTCCTGAGATGTATGAAATCCACACCAACTCCAAGGAGGAGCGGAATAACTGGATGAAGCAGATCCAGCAGGCGGTGGAAAGGTAACCTTCCTTTTTGTTGGTAGTCTGTGGATGGATGTGTTCAGCCTGGAAAATATTCTAACCACTTGTCCCCTGTGTGAAACGTTGCTTCAGCCCGAGTGCTCTGCTCCCTGCCTCTGCCCCTGCCTGCCTGCGGGAGCCCCTCACCCGCAGCTCTGCCTTCCGCTCATCTTCCCGCATGCACCGCTCTCCCCTTCCCACTGCCTGGACCTTTGCTGCAGCTCCTGCCTCCCCCACTTCACGAAGACCTGCTCAGTCCAAGTGACCTCCGCCTTCCATGTGGTGTTTTGCCAGCTACTCCCTAAGGCCTTTATGTGCTGCTTGGCGTGTACTGTCTCGTAGCTACTCTCTTTGTGCAAATATGTACACAAGTGTTTATGTCATTAGCCTGGAAGCTCCTTGAGAGCAGGGGCTAGACCGTGTGTCCCCCTGTGTCGAGGACTGAGGAATCATTTAATAAATGTCTAAGTCGGTTCTTTCCTGATTACTTGTCCAAGGACAGGTTTTGTAAATGTGGGTGCAAGAGAGGCTGTGCTCGTTCTTGCGGTAATTTGATGAGTTGGATCTGGATGCTGTACAGGTCTTCCTCTTCCACTGGATTCAACCCAATATTGTGCCGTTCTTATCCCTTAACCCTTCTACCATTCTTTATTGAGAACAGAAGTGCCCAAGTAAATGCCTCTGTGTGTGTGTGTGTGTGTGTGTGTCTTTTCTGGAATGTTCTAGTCATTCTATACTGCTGACTTTGAGAGCTGTGTTGTATTTATTATGAAAGATCCTTCCTATAAGCTAGGAGATCCCTCTCATGGCCAGGCCAGCGGTATGATGGTTCTTTTTATGCTGAATTTCTCATTGTTACGAATAATTCTGTTATCAAGTCATCTTGTTTTTTAATGAGCCTGAATACCTTTGAATTGAGTCTCTGTTGTATCTCTCAATTGCTGTCTTTTGAAGTTGCCCAGAAGAAGAAGGGGGAAGGACCAGTGAATCTGATGAGGAGAGGAGGAAAGCCGAAGCCAGGGTGGCCAGAATTCAGCAGTGTCAAGGTACAGCGTGGGCCTGGCTGTGCTGTCTCCCTGGGGTTTGGGAAAGCGCTGGTGTCATTCAGGGACAGTCCTGACTGAGTGAGTGTGGGTACCTAAGGCTCAGTCTGGCCCTGCCCTGTGTGGGCAGGCTGATGCACAGGAGCATGGGCATTGGTGGCTGATGATTTAATTTTAGGTCACAACACTGTCTGGTCATAGTTGTACAGACTATAACCAGACAAGGAACCAGTAGGTCTTGCCATTGAGTTACCAAGATTGAGTGCAAATCTTTGAAATAGGGAATGAACTTAGCTCAGTTTCCAGTTCTGGCTTGACATAAGATGCACACAGAGAGCTTACTACTGATCCTGGGCTCCTCACCCTTCGGGATCGGAAGCTACACAATGTGGCAGGTGAATCTGAGCGTTTAAAACTCTCTGCCTGTTGGCTCAGTGGAATAGGCGCTTCCCTGGCAAGCACAAGGGCTTGAGTTCAATCCCCGGTTCCGCCAAAAAAAAGGAAGAAAAAAAAAAAACTCTCTGCCTGTGATTCCAAGGAGCATGAGGACTGCATGTCCCTGAAGTTCTTGCTGGTTAAGGTCACTGAGCTTTAAGAATTCTCTGACACGTTGTAATATGAGGCTGATCATGGCCAAAGAAATTAGGTGTTTAGAAACAAAAAATAAGCCAATGTGTTTGGTTTTGACCAAGACTGGCTGAAGCCTGAGGCATTTCAGGCCTTTACCTTGTTTTCCATATGGGCTTTCGCTCTTCATGGACGGTTGGGGCTACCTCAATTTTCATTCCTGAGCTGGGTGTTTAGTCTTAATAGGAACCAGCCTGCATAAACAAGGCACGGCTTTGCCAGGTTTTCTGAAATCAGAGGAATGGGAAAGAAAATGAGCATTCATCCAGTGCGGTGGAGGTGGGAGAGTTGCTAAGTCCTTTGTTGGATTGAGGGACAGTGGAAACGTCAGGAATCAAGCCAGGGTCTGCTCCGGCCAACCACATGAGCCTTACCTCTCAAGCCGGCAGCTTTCTCTCATAGTTTGGATGTGCATATCAACTGTTGCATTCATAGGAATGATCCACTTCTATGGTAAACACTTTCTTAGAAATACTCAGTAACCAGGACCAGCAGATCTGCACGTATCTGGAGGAAAAGCTACATATCTATGCTGAACTTGGGGAACTGAGTGGCTTTGAGGATGTCCATCTGGAGCCCCACCTCCTCATTAAGCCTGACCCTGGAGAGCCACCCCAGGCTGCCTCCTTACTGGCTGCAGCACTGAAAGAAGGTGAGTTGCTTTGGAAGGGATTTGGTCTGACTACTCCTGGAAATGTTTTTGAAATGCCCACCGACCATGTACCACGCATTGGGTTCTCTGTGCTGAGGCTATAGCTGCATAAGACAGAGACCTTACTATCCTACAACGTATGTTCTAGAAACAGCAACACATAGAGCAATAGATGTACTAGGTGGGATGTGAAGAAAGATGAGCAGGTGAAGGGGTGGCGGGTGTGATGGCGGGTGGTTTGGGTGGCTCTGTTGCTGATGGGGTGATACAGCAATGGATAAGCTGACATGAGGGAAGTGAGGAAACTGAGGGGTGCCCTGGGGAAGAACGCTCCCACACAGGAAACAGCAGGAGCAAAGGCCTTGTGGCCGGCAAGGGGGGCAGAACAGACAAAGTTGGGTTGGGAGGTGGGGGTGGCAGGAGATGAGTCAAGGGTTAGGGAGCATCATGAATTTTCAGTGGAGGAGGGACCCGACCCAGAGAGGAGGAACCCTCTGAAGGATGTGTAGGACAGAACGTGAGGCGGCAAAGTGCAGATCTCAGCAGTGACACAATCTGGGCCATCACTGTGGGAGCTGGTGGCCAAGCTCGGAAGGACCTTTGGAAATAAAACAGTAGAGGAGAGGAGAGGCTGTGGTGGTAGGAGGACCCTGCAGAACTGGAATTACTGAGAGTTTGTAGGGATGAGCTGGGGTGGGGACTGAACAGGTGCTAGGTGCGGGATTCTGCCAAGATGGGCAAGTGGCGAGGGTACAGCTGCAGGCTGTGGGTCAGGTGGCAGTGGCTCCGTGGGAGAGAGAGGCTGACGGGAGAGATGAGGGTAATGGCCTGGAAGTGACGGTGGCGAGAAGGAGACACAGTAGCTGCTCCCTGAGTGAGGAGGGTGCGTTGTTCAGAAAAAGGGCTAGTAAGTTGTGGCCTTGGGCCCCTCACTTCTCCCCTGCTGCTTTGGTGAGTGGGGGCGCAGCCTCGCTCACTCGCCGTGGGCATGTCTGGTGGCTCTTTGCCACACAGCAGCGGTGGGCAGGGCTGAGTCTGTAGGGCTCACAAAGCCTGCAGTACGCACTACAGGGACTGCACGCTGCGTTCGCATTCGTTTTGGGTGGAATTCAGCAGTCTCGAGCTGTATCTTTATTTCACTGTGGAGGAAGGCAGGGTCTCAGCAGGGCACAGCGATGTTGGCAGTGGGGCCACCACCAGAATCACTGGCATTCGTTGCAGGTCCATTGAGGACAGTCAATCTCCAATTCTTAGTTGTCACAGCCTGGGCCCAGAGCACTCATACCATATTCAAGGAGCATCTTATAAATCAAATAGCTGCACAGAGCATTTTAGGAAGGTGTGTAGGGGTACACGATTCTATTCATCCATGAGTTGAAATGCTTTTATTGTAAACAAAGATACTGGCTTTTTGGTGTGGTGTGTGTGGTGTGGTATAGTGTGTAGTATGGTATAGTGTGTGGTGTGGTGTGTGTGGTATGGCATGTAGTGTGCTGTGGGGTGGTGTGTGGTGTGGTACGGTATGTGTGGTATGGTATGGTGTGTGGTAAAGTGCGTGGTAAGCTGTATGGTGTGGTGTGTATGGTGTGGTGTGGGGTAGTGTGTAGTGTGGTATGTGGTATGGTGCGGTGTGTGTGTGGTGTGGTATGGTGTGTGGTGTAGTGTGTGGTGGGGTGTGTGGTATGGTGCGGTGTGTGTGTGGTGTGGTATGGTGTGTGGTGTAGTGTGTGGTGGGGTGTGTGGTATGGTGCGGTGTGTGTGGTGTGGTGTAGGGTAGTGTGTGGCGTGGTATGGTGTGTGGCGTGGTGTTTCCCGAGCACTTGATTAGAACGAGCACCTCACCTTCAGAGACTGTGACCCAGGAGGTCTCAGTGAAAGCTGGGAATCTCTGTTGTTAAGGTCAGTTTGGGGAAAAGCTCTTCTTGAAGAACAGTTACTATTTCTGAATAACAGCTTTAAGAATCATACTGCCCAATGGCATAATTATATTAGTGGAAGTATAGGACTTTTTCAAGCATGCTGATTTACTGCAAGTTGCCTTTGAGCTATTTTTATACAACGGGCTTTTACTTTGTCATTGCGGTAATTCTCTATTGCAAAATGATGCTGACAGTATTGATTTGGATTGCAGACTCTCACACATTTTCTGTGAAGGGCCAGATTGCGTATATTCTGGGCTTCTCAGGCTGTGCCACCCGAGGGAGCTGCTCCCCGAAGCACCTACTCGAGCAAGCTTTTAAAAGTGGAAAATGAACGTTTAGCTCCTGGGCCATATAAAAGCATGCACAGGCCATGTGATTTGTCAAGTCCACCTCTGTGTGTTCTTTGAATTTATTTATCTTTTCTGCTTCTTAGCTGAGAGCCTGCATGTCGCAGTGAAGTCCTCGAAGCTTCGTGACATGAGTCACTCGCCCAAGGATGCCGGCGCGGAGTCTGTCTCGAGGGATGCGTTGGCGTCTGACGACGATGTCCTGGGCCTGCCCGCTGTCCGTAAGTCCTGCCCGCTGTCCGTAAGTCCTGCCGTGTGGTCCTTGGAGCCTGGCGTGGTGACATGAAATGAAAGCCTGGGCTCTGCCCCTACTGGGAGGTGACTAAATGTATTTTTTAAATTACAAAAAAACCTGAGAAGTGCTAGGCTGGCCGTAACTACACGCTGCGTTCGCATAGTAAT